CACATTTAGTAGACTACAGTGTAGTATAAACATTACTTTTATATTTGCTGGGAAATCAAAAATTCTTATGACTTGCTCTATTGTGATATTCTTTGTTGTGGTAGTTTGGAACTGAACCTGCAGCATCCCTGAGGTATGTGTATGTATGCCTAAAACAAAATGATTCACAAAGGCTAAAAATAAAGGGACAGACTAGGGTAGCAGTCCTGATATCAGACAAGGTAACATTCAAGCACAAATGCACTAAGCATGACAAAGGATACTTTTTAATGGTAAAAGCCACAATTCACAGTGAAGATAAAATACAAAAATATATACACCAAAGAACACAGCAGTAATCTTTATGAAGCAAAAACTGCAGGAAATGCATGGAGACATAGATAGAAATCAACTAACAACATGAGGAAATTCTACTAAACATATTTACAATAAAAATGAAAGAATGAAAATAATTACAGCCCCTGTTCATAAACATAAGAAAAACAACAACAAAATGAACAAAAAGAAAGCACAAGGAAGGACATAGTAAAAATAAAAGCAGAAAGTAAAAAGTAGAAAATAGAGACACAGTAGATCTGGGTGGTTTTTTTTTAATAATTTAAAAATTAAATAAATTCTGGGTTTTTTAAAATAAAAATAGGCTAATCACCCAATGATAAGGGGGAAAAAAAAAACAGCCACCCTAACAGCAAAATAAAAAATGACAAAGGGGAAAGAGCCATTGAAGTAGAAGACATTTTTAAAAATCATGAGATTACTTTGCAATCCTCTTTGCATATAAATTTGAAAACCTGGTTGAAATGAATATTTTCCTAGGGCATAGAGATTGCTAAAATTGACCCCATTTGATTTAGAAAGCTTAAACAGGCCAATTTCCGTAGAAGAAATAGACAAAGTTATGGAGGGACTACCCCACAAAAACCCACCAGGCCCAGGGAGTTTCTCAGAGGCATTCCACCAAACCCTCAAGACCAGGTAGTCCCAGTGCTCTGTCAATTATTCCAGAGCATTGAACGGAGAGGAAAACTTCCTAACTCATTATATGAAACATGTAACGTTGATACCTAAAATCAGATAGACAGTGCAAAGAAAGAAAGCTGCAAATCAGTATCACTCATGCATATTGATGAAAAAATACTAAATAAAACATTAGCAATCCCAAATCCAAAATATTAGAATCCAAAATCATACTAAGAAGGTAATATACTTCGTCCAAGTAGGATTTATTCCAGGAATAATGTAAAGTTGGTTTAATGCTAAGAAAGCCATTAATATCACACACCCTATTAACAGCCCAAATGAAATAAATCATAAAATTATTTCCAAAGGTGCTGAAAACTCTTTGAAAAAACTCAACACCCATTCACTATAAAAAGCAATAGTAGATGGAAATTGAAGGATATTCTTAAGTATGTGTACATCAAAGTTTAAAAAGCAAATACCCATAGTATCTTACCCATCATGTATGGAAGAAGAAGACAGAAGAAGATATGTGTGCTCGTTTTTGCAGAAGAAATATAAAAAGGAGAAACTAGAAAATAAACAGAATGGTTACCTACAGAGGGTGGGTAGAAAACGCACAGGAAAAGTGGAGGAGTTAAGAAGTAAGGGTGAAAAGGAAGCAGCCCTTCTCTGGGTGTATGTCTTTGTTAGCTCTGACTCTCAGGACCACAGTCATGTTTCTTATACCGCTGGAAATAAATAGCTACTTTTTGTAAGTGGAACCAAAATGGAATATAAACAGTAACAAATGAACTTAACTGTATTATAAATGAATAATAAAACCACATGGAAAAAAATAGGGAACAACATAACTCACATAAATGAATTTCAGGAAGCACTGTTTTGACTGGACACTGTAAGGTGGAAAACAAAAACTACTGTATCCTTGTTAGTACAGGAAAATGGGTTAGCAATTCTGTAACTATTATATGTGTACGTTAGGATTTAGCAAACAAGTCAATATAGATAATTAGAGGCAGGTTTTTCCACTGTCTAAGAAAGAAGTTACAAATTAGGAAAGTAGAGAAGCTAAAATGAACAGTATTAGAATTGGAGGTATCAGTATGGATTCATGGTTTCAATAGAAATACGGATAGATACACATTCATGTGCATGTATGCTTGTGTGGGTGAATATATGTATACATGTTTCCTGGCTTTGTGTGCCGGGGGGGCCTATGAGCAATGATACTCTAGCAGCAATGAGCATACCTTGTGGCCGTATCTTTGTTTCTAAACACCATTTTCCAATAAAAGAAACCAGAGCTTCTTGGAGAAGCAGTTGATTCAAGTGCTGGGACAGGACAAGCTGAATCTGGAACATTTTGTGATGCCCCTAAAATAAGAACATGCTCGTAAAAAGAATGGAGGTTTATCAAAAGGACCCAGGAATCAACCTGAAGAACTTTGCGATGGTCGAACCAGGGACAACTTGAATAGCAAAATAAATAATGATAGTATTGGATTGTGATCCCTAGAATAAACTAAATACCCAGGCGTCCATACCAGAAATAAATAAAAACTGAATAAATAAATAAATGGCTGTGGTCAGCTATTCCTTATAGAAGAACTCTAATTAATAAATGTAAAGGGAATGAAGAAAATATAAACCTACTAGGCAAACACCACAGGAATAACTGTTGCAGGCAAGATCCACCAATGGATGATAAAATTAACGGGTAAAAGTTTGACTTGGAACAGAATATTTTCATAGCCTCAAAGTATCTTCCCCAAGAGAGTTACCAAATACAAAGGGAAACATAATAACTTTACAGGGGAGAAGACTGGCATTCACCAACTTATTCAAATGATCAAGGTAAACATCACCTGTACTAAGATTTATTGTCATCGCATGTCCCCTAACATGATGTCCTGGAAAAGACACAGCATCGCTTCTGTAGTTTTATTACCAAAAATATGTATAACCTCTGTTTAATAATGCAAGCATCAGACAAACCCACACTGAGGAGCATTCTGCAAAATTATGACCAGTACTCATCAAAAATATCAAAGTCATGAAAGACAGGAAATGGCTGAGGAATTGTCACAAGTTGGAGGAGACTAAAAAGGCATAAAACCATGAAGTGCAGGATAGAATCCTGAATTGGATACTGGGACAGGAAAAAGGACACAAGGAAAAATATTAGGGGAATGTGAATAAGGTCTGTAGTTCAATTAATAGTATTGTACCAGCATTGATTTTCTGGCTATTAAATATTGAATGTTTTTCCCTAAAATCAAAGCATAGATGTATGGTGTCTCCACTTCTGTTCCGTATGGCACTGGAATTCCTAGAGATTGTGATAGTTAAGAAAAATAAATAAAAAGTATTAAGATTGGAAACTGCCTTCATTCGTAAACAACATGATTGACCACATCAAAAATCTTAAGAAACCTGCAGAAAAAAGTACTAAGGGAACTTAGTAAGGTCACAGGATAGAAAGACAATAAACAAAAATCTATTGTATTTTTTATGTGCTAGCAACAAACAATTGGAAAATGTTAAACTTTTGCTTTTCACAAGACAATTTTAAAAATGAAAAGGCAAGACACAGACTTGGAGAAAATATTGATAAGACATCTCTCTCATAAAGGATTCATATCCCAAATATATAAAGAATTCTCACAACTCAGTAAGAAGGACACAACCTGATTGAAAATGGGCAGAGAATCAGGAGGCACTTCATGAGTAGATACATGAACGGACAATAAAGCTATGTGAAGATATTTCACAGTGTTAATCACGAGAGTACAAATTAAAATCATAGTGACATAACACTTCACACCCGCCATGATGACTGAATTTAAAGGACTGACAACATCAAATGTTGGCAAGGATGTGGAGCCACTGGAACTCTCAAACAGTGTTGGTAGGAATGTAAAATAACACAGCTGCTTTGGAAATCAGTTTGCCATTTCTTAGAAAGTTAAACGTATGATTACCATATAACCTGGTAATTCCACTCCTATGTAGGGTATACAAAGCTAATCTATGGTGGGAAAAAAAAAAATCAGACCAATGGTTGCCCAGGGCAAAGACAGGGAATGAGGGTGGAGAGACTGCAGAGGAGCCCCAGGGGACAATGGAAATGTTTTGTTTCTTGATTGCAGTGCCCGCTGCCTGGGTATACCCACTTTTCAAAACCCATTGAACTGAACACTTAAAAGGAATGCTTATGGTAGGTAAATCAGACTTTAATATGGCTGTTTTTAAGGTGAAAAGACAAATGATTAGAATGAATCCTTATGGAACAGTTACCTTTTTAAGTGCTTTCGGTGTTCTGCATGATCTCACTGAATTCTCAAAACCACCTTATTAGGTAGGACTCCATTGTCCCCACTTTCCAGCCGAGGAGACCGAGGTAGAGCTCACAGTAAAGAGCAAGGATGTGAGCCCTTAACTACCGCGCTCCAGGGCTTGAACCTCACAGTCTCTTCCTTGACATTAATTATTAATGACATTTATAAAGCTCATCCTGAGGACGTACTCACAAGCCTTCGATCTGGATCAGCCAAGAGAAGTGAGTGTGGACCTAGGAGATGAGGGGAGGAACCCAAAAGAAGAGGCGGCCTGGGCTCCCAACTGCCTGCATAGGAATCATCAGGTGACGAGTCCTTGCCTCACCCAAGACTGACTGAATTAGAATCTCTGGGGTGGGCCTGAGGACCTGCACCTTAATAAGAAGGCTCCCATCCTCCCCCCATCTTCCCAAGTAAGAAGAATAGAGACAGGTCTGTGCAGAAGAAGGTCTGGGAGTCCGACCAACCTGGGCTTGACTCCTGACCCTTCCAGACCCTTGCTTACCTCTCTGTGCCTCAGCTTTCTTGTCTGCAAATTGGGCATCATCATGGTAGCAGCAGCACCGACTGGCTGGGCGGTTGCTGTGATCTGAGTGAAAATTAGTCACAGCACTGGCACAGGGGAAGCACTCAACACTTGTTGAATTAAAGTAACAATTGAATGAGGCCCAGCGCTTTCTCTCTCTCCTTCCTCTCCAGGCCCTGGTCTGGCCTTTATTGCTTACCCCAAGGCCGTCACCATGATGCCACTCTCCCCACTGTGGGCCACCCTGTTCTTCATGATGCTCATCTTCCTGGGCCTGGACAGCCAGGTAAGGAGGGGGTGGCCACATCGGTCCTCAGTACCACCACCAGCTCCCACTCCCCGATGTCCCACCACCTGCCTCTGTTCTCATTGTCGCCTGTGGGCCTCTCCCAGACTCCCCATCCCCTTGGCAGTCTGCCTTCCTCAGTGGAGGATGTGTAGTTAGAACCAGCAGTCTATCTGTGCCCATTTTCCTTCATCTCCACACCGATGCATGCACCTACATTTTCTCACACTGTAATTCACCCTGGCCCACTCACCCAACCATCCTCCAGTCCTCTCCTTGGTTTTCCAGCCAAAATCCTGGGGCTACCAGGCTCTCTTCAGCCCCAGAAATCTTCACTTTGCCCCTCTGCTTCAACGTGGCTGGTTTCCCTAAGAGCCCCGAAGAAGGTCTTCTAGCCAAAGCCAGTCACTCTGCCGTCAGACATGGGTCTGTCTGCGAGGTGCTGCCCACTACCTGTGACCTTGTGTGAGTCACTTAGCACCCAAGCCCTGTGGCTGGCGTGTCTGTCAACTGCGCCAAGTCCAATTCCTTCTCCTGGATGGTTTATCAGAAGCTACTAAGCCGAGCTGTGGAAGCACCGGGTGTTTTTGCTGATAATCGGCCCTTCTATTATTTTGCGCAGAGGCCTCAGGAGGGATCGGCGGCTTGTGTGTGACAGTGACAGGCCTGCCTCCTCTGCAGAGGGACATGGGGGCTAAGCCGCGGCTCTGCGAGTGTCGGGGCTGAGCCAGGCCAGCACTAGGGCTGAGAAAGCCTGTTTGCAAAGAGGGCTGGAGGCCAGATGTCCAGCACAGAGGGTGGATGGCTGCCTGCTCACCCTCAAGTGTGGATGGCACTTCTCTGTGCTTGGACTGTGTCTTTACTTCTTAATCACGTAACGCATGGGCTGGGAGGCTCCTTATACCATCCCCATTTTACAGAGGAAGAAACTGAAGCTCCAAAATGCCAGGTGGCTTGCTGGGCCATGCACCAGGTCTCTGTGCCTGTTGGCCCCTGTGCTCTGATGTCTCTTCAGGTCAGGTGCTAAATCAGCAGCCTCCTCCTGAATCTCCTTCCTTCCCTGGGGACCCGCAAGAAAGGATGAGTACAATCAGCCTTGCCGCAGAGGCAGGGCAGCCTGGAGGCTAGGAGCCCAGGCCTTGGAGTCAGACAGGACTGGGTCTGAGTCCCAGCTGCATGACTCTTAACGGCTGTGTGACTCTGGACAGTCACTTCACCTCTCTGCGCTACAGTCTCTTTGCACAGTAAGGATGGAAATACCTTTCCCAAGGAGGTAGAAGTGAATCAGAAAGGATTTGGAGCCAAGAAATGGCCCCAGGGAAGGGGGCTGTCCCCACATGGTGACCTCCCTGTGCCGCACAGTGGTTGCAGCCCAGCCTCTGGAACAAGGTTACCTGGTTCAAATTCAGGCTCTGACACGTACTCTCTGTGGGACCTCAGAGCAAGTTGCTCTTATGCTTCCGTGTCTTCATTTACAAAACGGGGATAATATAGGGCTTAACACATAGAGATCAAATAAATTAATAATTAAATAAATTAACTGTTTAGCAGTGAGTCTGGCACATAACAAGGACCATATGTTCACCATCACCATTATAATTATTATTAGTCATTTATCAAACATTTTCTGAGCATCTCCTCTATGCCACTGGACATAGACGAAAATGACATGGCCCCTGCCATCCGGGATCTCACCTTCTTGTAAGGAGACAGTTAGAAGCAAGCAGAGGTCCCATGGGATGAGGGGTAGGGCCTAGGCTTGGAATAGAGTCGGGGGTCTGTTCTGCCCGACTGGGAGGCAAGGAGGAGCAGTCAGGAAAAGGCTCGTGCAGGAGATCTGCCCATAGTGCTGGGAGAACCCAGGGAGGGGGTGAGGGGTGCGCTGTGATCTTTGGGCTGGGTGTTGATGGGTGACTAGGAGTGCGACTGATCCCATATCTGGCCTGTATCAGCATAGCGGAAGCAGATGCCCAGTGTCTCAAGTCTGCCTGCACAGTCTGGCCGGGCGCAGAGACTCACCCAGCCCGAACACAAGAGCTGAATGTGGCTCACCTGACTGCCTCCACCCAGCAAAGGGGCATCTGCCCACCCAGATGCCAAGGGCAGGGGAGCTGTCACAGTCCTGGAGGATGAGCACGTCACGTCCCACCCTCAGGGACTGACCAGAGCCTGCCACCAGCAGAGCACTCAGCTCTCAGGATGGTTATAGAGACTCCCGACTTGGCCCCAAGGCAGAAGCTGGGTCTCATTTAAGTCAGTGACCCCAGGACAGGGCCCAGCACGTAGGTACGTGACAGGCAGCATGAGGGAAAGGCGTTGTAGCTTTAGAGTCGGGAGACCTCATTTCAAGTCCTGACTTCTGCCACTCCTTGCTGAGACACGTTGGGCAGGTTGCTTCCCCTCTCTGAGCCTCAGGGTCCTCATGCATCAAATGGGCTTCCTGGAGTGCTGTAAATGCCGGACTTCTTGTTTTTGTTCTTGGGCCTTCTTCGTTGGTGTGAGGAAGTGTGGGAATGAAGGTGAGGCTTGGTGGGAGGGAAGCCCAGGGTTTAGGGCTGCTGTGCTTGCCTGAAGCCAGGGCCACGAAGGGCTCACACCACCGTATCTACCCTGTCCAGTTCGTGTGCGTGGAAAGCCTTGTGACGGCCGTGGTGGACATGTACCCCAAGGTCTTCCGGAGGGGCTATCGGCGGGAGCTGCTCATCCTGGCCCTGTCGATCATCTCCTATTTTCTGGGCCTTGTGATGCTGACGGAGGTGAGTGATGTGGACACAGGTCAGTGATGTGAACAGGGTAGCACAAGGTTCAGTGCCTAAGCTTTGGGTTCAGCGGGTCTGACATCAGATCCCAGCTGTCACGTTGACTAGCTGTGTGACCTGCCAGGTCTAGTGCTCCTCAGGGACTCAGTTTTCTCATCTCTGTAATGGGTTTTTGTGAGAATCCAGGGAAAGTTTTTATGAAGCCCTTCACACAATGTCTTGCATGTGTAAATACTCAGCTAAAGGTCTCCACTGTCACTGCCAGAGGAGAACAGAACTCACAGAGGGAAAGCCTGGGTTAATCTAGTCATTGTGAGAGTCTCGATGCCTGGGCCACCCCTTACAGTCACTTCTGGGTGAAGGGGACAGTGTCCCTATGGAACCCTTGACTGGTTATGGTTATTGGCCTCAAGTTCAGAGCAGGCTTTTCTGGGGCACCACTGAGAACAGACACACAAGAGGAAATCGGGCACCTTCAGGCACTATATGTTCCAGCCCCAGCCCTCCACGTGTACCCTCTTGTCTTTGCCGGGTCTGTGAGTGAGGAGGGGTTCACCATGACCCCCAAATTAAGACTGCCTCATAAAACCACGTTTCTCCCCTCCTGCTGCCATCCTGTCTAATAAGTACTTTCTCAAGTACCTGGGGAAGGTGAGATTAGATCTTTTTCCACATACTCACAAAATTAATTTATTTAAAAAGACAAAAACAAAAAAACAAAACAAAACAAAACAAAAAAAACCCCTGTTGCCTAGAGACAAGAAGAGCTTTTGTAAGAAACATGGAAAAAAATGAGGGATTTCAGACTATGTCCAAGCCACTGGTGTGATACTGAGGTTGGTCTGTTGATCCTTCTCATCCTCCACTTCTCAGCTCAAATGTCACCTCCTCCTGGAAGCTGCCTCTGCTTCCCTCCCCCCACTAGCACTTCATTCTAAGCTCAGCCCAGCCTCCCTCTGGCTGTTACAATGACCTGTCTGTTCACCTGCCTCCCCCACTGGGCCCTGGGGTCCTTGGGTACTGGAGCTGGCCTTGCTCGGCTTGGCACCCCCAGGGCCTGGCACTGGGTGGGCTCTGGGGCGTGGCGGCTGGTGTCATTACTGCTCCTAGTCATTGTCACATTAGTGGGTGTGGTAATCAGCATCTGAGCAAAGGACTGTACTGCATTTCCCGTTTCCACCTGGCCTCTCACACAGAAAACGGCACTGCAGTGAGCAGGGCTTCACTGGGTGCTGATTAATCACGCAGAATCGAGTCTTGTCACTTACAAATTGAGGGGTTAACCTGATGCCTTAAAGAGGCTGCTGGGGCTACAAGGAGGGCAGGCGTCAGCGGGGCGCCCCTGACTTGTAGCAGGTGGGCGGAGGGCCCTCCTGGACATGCCGCCCTGGGTGCCCCCACCTCACAGAGCCTTTGTGCCCCCACCCCAGGCCTCGGGTCTGCCCCGGGCACCCCAGGCCCATCAGGGAGCCAGCACTGTGCCCTCCCTAGACTATGAGTCAGCAGACACAAGGCCCCACAGGCCAACCTCTCCCTCCACGGAGGCGTGTCTGTGAACCAACACACCGGGACGTTCAAATTGCCAAATGGGCCGTGTCAGCCTCAGTAATTGCTGGCAGGATCTTCTCCCTCATTTATGCTCATTTAAAGCTCGGCTCTAGGGAAAAAATAGTCCTCAAATGTCTCATTTTCCACCGAGGCAATTTGGTGGTGGCCGAGGGCGGGGGCTCTGCAGCGACGCCTGGGTCCAGGCCTCAGCCCGCAACGGGCTAGCTGGGTGACCTGCCGCCAGTGTCCTCACCACCCCGCGCCTCAGTGGCCCCACATGAACACTGAGGACAGCAGCAGTGCCTAACCTGTGATCACACTGGGCACAATCAGCCAGGCTGAGGTGTGGGAAGCGGTTAAGAAAGAGCCGGCACTTGGGGGGCACTACAGTAGGGCTTCCTTCGGTTTTTTCTTTTTTCTTTAATATACGATGTGCTGGGAAGGAGACCCTCGGGAGAGCAACCGGAGGGCCAACTCAGAGTAACTAGGAAAGCCAGGCCCCCCGCTGCTCCTTCTCACAGACGTGAATGCCGCCTTGTCCAGCACAGAATGGGGGGCCCCTGGCCAGATAGGGCCCAGAGATGTGCTGTGTTTCACCCTCGCCGTGGTTTTTTAAGAAGACAAAGAATTGACCAAAATTAAAGAGAAAGATTTCTTGAGAAAATCTGGATTTTTGACGACTTCCCGGAAATCTGCAGGTCCAGCTGCACCCAGGCCTGCATCCCCCAGCAGGAGTCAACCACAGTTGTGTGGGGCCCGTAAACTCCTGTTAGCCAGAGTCCCCACCACTCCCAGGCGTCACACACTGGGACCACTTGTATCAGCACTGAGGTGTTCCCCCTGATCTGGCTGAAGAGATGAATGAGGAAACAAACAGCCCCTGGGTATGTGGTCTCACATGATGGGAGGAGACCTGGGGGCTGCGGGACCACGAGGAAGAAGCTCCATTCAGTAACTGCCCACGTCAGACACACAACGAGGATGTACAGGGTTAGTCCTGGCCTCTTAAACAACCCCCACTTCCCCCATTCTGGCATCAGAATGCCCCCTCTCCCGGCTGTCCCTCCCTTTTGCACTTTTATTTCCCCTCCTTTTGACTGTGTCCTGCTAAGGATCTCATTGTCTTATGGGATTTTCTTTATAGATCTCAGCCCTTCTCACACCTGCATCTGGCCTCCCCTGCCTCCTAGAGCTCTTCCCAGATCACCTAGACCAGCCAAGCTTGCACCTCCTAGGCCTTCCACTGAACTTAATCTTCACAAATCTGCATACTACGGAGCTGGCCCACATCATTCCTGCATCCCTCAAAGGTTGCACACCTACACTGTACAGAGTCTTTGGCTAGATACAGGGGCACAGCTGTGGACAAGCCATTCAGAGTCCCTCCCCCATGGGGTGCTCACTCCACACGATTTAACTTGCACTTAACAGAGACCTACTGCAAGCCAGGCCTTGGGGGAGACACATGGATGACCACTGTGGGAGCCTTCACGATGGGAGCTCAGAGCTAACAGAGCAGCTGATGGGTGAGGGGGCTTTTTAAAAATTATGAATCCATAAAGTGTGAATGAAAGAATGAGAACTGTCAGGGAGGGCTTTTGGAGGAGGTGACATCTGAGCTGAGCTTTGAAGGAACTTATCCAGTGGAAGGGAACAGCATGTGCAAAGGGGCAGAGGTGAGACTGTCCCTCAGTCTGTCCAGGAGGGAGCATGTTGAGGGTGGCTGTGGGAAGGGAGCTGAGGCCAGGTGAGGAGGGCAGCCCTGGCTGGCAGGCTGAAGGAAGCCAAGCTGTGGAGTGACATGGTTGGATGTGCACATGGGAAAGATCCCTGTGAAAGCTGGTGCACGGAAGGTTTAGGAAAGGGTGAGGCTGGAGGCAGGGAGGCCAGTGGGGAGGCTGTCGGAGCCATGTGGGGAGAAGGGCTGAGCCTGCTCCACCGCCAACCTCTGGATTTCTGTGTTGTCTCTGGCTTTGGGGGTACAGAGACAAGACGGACCCTTGCAATCCCAGCAACTCACAGAGGGTGGTCCTAGGGGGCACCCTGGTGTGGAGGGTGCAGCATTCTAGGACGCTAGGGAGACCAGTCTGCCCTGGTGGAAGTGACTCCTGGCTGGTGGTAGCGCAGGGCTAAGGGCCCTTCCCGAGGCCGGCTGACTGGCCCTGCTCTCCCTGTGTCTTCATTCCTCTGTCCTTGTGCCTCTCTTCCTGCCTGCAGGGCGGCATGTACATCTTCCAGCTCTTTGACTCCTACGCTGCCAGCGGGATGTGCCTTCTCTTCGTGGCCATCTTTGAGTGCATCTGCATCGGCTGGGTGTACGGTGAGCAGAGGCCGAGCCCGCCCACACCCCAGCTGGGGCCACGGTGCCCAGCGCAGGGTGCTCGGGACCTGGGTGGGCTTAGCTCCTCTGTGGCTGGTTTCCATCTGCATGGACCTCTCCGTCCTTCCCCTGAGGGACTTCTTGGCCCTTCCCACTTGTTGGGAGACCTTCCTCCTCTTATACCCCTGCAGCACAGGGAGGGGTTCCAGGCTCCAGCACTGTGACCTTGGGTCTGCCTTTTTGCCCCTGAGGCTCAGTTTTCCCATCTGTAAAATGGGGTAGTCATCACCATGTCTCTAAGTGTGAGGCAAAACAGCCAGCCCAGTGCCTGGCCCTCTGTCAGCATCTCCCATTCCCCAAACCAAATGAGTGGGTGAGGATTGCTGGGCTCAGTGATGATGGACACCCCTGAGCATGGCTTTAGAATAGACACCCCACAGGCTACCTCGCCAGGCCCTCACGTTCAGAACCCCAACCCCTACCCCCACGCAAGTAACCTAGCTCCTGGCCCTGCGTCCACCTTTTCCCCAGAAACTCCTCACCATTTCCTGGGCATCACTGCCCGAGGTCGGGTGGGGTCTTCCCGAAAGCAGACCAGAAGCCCTCCTCCCGCAGTTTATCCTGAAACCTCACATATGTAAGTCCTTGGTAGTTTTTAAAGCGGTAAATAAGGTCCCTGCTGCAATTGTCTCAGGCTGGGGGAAGCAGACGCTCATAGCCTTTCCTCTGAGTCTTGTACAGAAATGCTCTGGGGTGTGTGTGCCCGTCTGCTTTATTCTGGACAGGAAGCAACCGCTTCTATGATAACATCGAAGACATGATTGGCTACCGGCCGCTGTCACTCATTAAATGGTGCTGGAAGGTTGTGACCCCCGGGATTTGTGCGGTAAGGGCCCCCCAGGAGCTGCCTGCAGCCCAGCCACCCACCACTTCTCTACTCCAGAGCCCAGGCCAGGCCGAGGCTGAGACTGAGGAGGGGATGTACCCCTGGGGGACCCTCTGTGCATTCCCAAAGCCCGAGGCACCCGACACCTTTCGAAGCTGGCAGTGGGGACAGTCTCTGAGCTTGGCCTCACTAGGACCCAGCCCTGCCACCAGCTTGCTGTGTGACTGTGAGCAAGTCACCTCCCTTCTCGGGGCCTGATTCCACGCCCGCAAACTGGGCAGCTGGGACCTGCTTCCATGGGAGCTGAGGGTCCCGTGAACATTTGGCTCTGCTCTTGGCAGTGAAGCAGCAGCCTGGGGGTAAAGAGGGGCCCACACTCTGACCCTCAGGCCAGACCATGAGGATGAGGTGAGAGGATGTTTAATTAAAAACAAAACAGTGCTCTTCACCCGGTTCTCGGCACTGGAAGTATCTCAAAGCACCTTCACAAACATCTTGCTTCTGAAAGTAAGCAAGGCCACGGCTTCTGCAGGGCGGGGAGGCTCTGTTCCCCGTGTTTCTTGCCGTGGACCGAGCAGGGCCTCGCCTCTCCGAGGCTGCGACACGGGGTGGACCGTCTTCCCTGCTGGCCACCTGTGCGCAGGCTCAGGGCCCCCCACCCCAAGGACCTCTCCCCGTCTCCCCGCAGGGCATCTTCATCTTCTTCCTGGTCAAGTACAAGCCCCTCAAGTACAACAACGTCTACACCTACCCCGCCTGGGGCTATGGCATCGGCTGGCTCATGGCCCTGTCCTCCATGCTCTGTATCCCGCTGTGGGTCTTCATCAAGGTGTGGAAGACAGAGGGGACGCTGCCTGAGGTGAGCGGGGCTGGCTGTGCTGGGCGGGCTGGTGAGCACCGGTGCAGCCATGGGCGCCTCCAGGTCCCAGCTTCCTCATCTGGGCCGTGGGTGTGTGAGAATGTGCCCCCACGTGTCTCTCGGGGAATCCTGGCCAGCTCCTCCCTGGCAGGTGTCTGCCGTTACTATTGTGCTGAGGCCTCAGAGTTGAGCCATTTTCTGTGAGCTTGGCCTCAGTTTCCTCATCTGTAAAATGGGCCAACAGCAGTCCCTCATGTCCAGAGGTTGGTTGTTGTGGACTCAGCGAGTGCAGAGAGGGAGAGCAATTAGACCAGGACCTGGGACAGAGAAGGACCAAGTGTTAGCTCTGATGGTTCTGTGGATTCCATTCATTCAAGACCCCATTCCCACAACACAGGGAGCTGGTCTGACACTGGGGGACACCTGTTATGTGTCATCACCCGGCCTGGCTCTCTCCGTCTGCATCTCCTTTAGTCCTCAGAGCCAGCCGGGGTGAAAGGCATCACTTTCCATATTTAACAGGTGAGGGAAACTGAAGCTCAGAGAACTTAAGTCACTTGCCTAAGATCTCAGCCAAAAATTAGCAAATCAAATTTTTTAAACAATTTTATCAAAGTACATTTTCTATATCATAAAATTCACCCATTTCAGGTGTACAACTCCGTGGTTTTTTAGTAGCTTTCCGGGTAGTGCAATTATCACCATAAATCAGTTTGCAAACCTTTTTATCTCCCTAATGAGATCCCCGGTGCCCATTCACAGTAAGCCCTGTTCCCAGCCCTAGACACCCACGAGTCTGCCTCTGTCTCTGTGCATCGTGCCTCTTCTGGATGCTTCCTGTCCTTGGGACCACGCAGTACATGGTCTCTTGGTAACGGAGTGAACTAGGACCCCGCCCTTTGACCCCCCCCCCCGCCCTGGCACCTGTCTTCTCTTCACTCTCCCACCTGCGGGTGGATCAGAAAGTCTGAGTCAGTTTCTCACCCTTTTAGCAAACTGTCTGCTGTGCGCTAGACACTCTTCGAAGCCATCTGCAAACACTAAGCCATTGAATCCTCGTAGCAGTGCCGTGAGGTGGAGGCCCTTCCTCTCCCCATGGTACAGAGGAGGCAGCTGTGGCACAGAGAAGTGAAGCAAGTCGCCCAAGGGCACACAGCCTTGGAGTGGCAGAGTGGGTTCCCTGGAGGCCTTGCTCTCGGGCCCCCCACCTCGTTCCTGCCCCAGTGCAGCACCACAGGGGATTCGGGCTGACCAGTATCTCCCAGGCCACGGCCATAGGCGAGTGCCAGCCCAGAGTCGGCTCCAGCCAGCCCGCCTGCCCACGGAGGGGCCTGGGCTCCAGAAAAGCCAGAGTGCAGCCAGAAGGAGCAAGCAGAGAAGGAAGGGCCCTCTCTCCAGCCTGCTCGTCCCCCGGAGCAAGTCAGGGGCCTCAGCAGGGCAAGGGTGCTTGTTAACTCTCGTGCAGGACCAGACATGTCCAGAGGAAAGCAGTCCTGGGGCCCTAACACCTTGGCCCTGTAGGCCCTGCCAGTTACTTCCCCACTCCTGTTGCCAGAAGATTCTGTCAGCTGATGGGAAGGATCTGGAAGGAAAAACAGGATCAGTGGTACCCGCCTCAGAGAATTGCTGTGAGGGCGGCTAGTCTGGGTGCTAAGAGCTGTGAACTGGGCAACGAATCTGGGCCTCAGGGCAACCCTAGAGGCAGGTGCCGCTGTTACCCCTTTGACAGAGGAGGGAACAAGGCACAGGGGGCTGAGTTCTGGCCCCAGTACGTGGTAAAACTGGGATTCAAGCCCAGGTGCCTGGCCTTGGAGCCCTTGCTCCCAAGACCTGCCCTGTGTCGAGACCCTGGTGCCCCGGGGGGTGTTCAGCATGGGGAGGTCTGCCCGTTAATCTCTCCCTGGGCAGGATCTGAAAGAGAGAACAGAACCTTGATCGTGAGAAACCAACCACCCAAATGTCTTTCCAGCCTTCCGTGGAAAAGGTTTATGCCCAGAAAAGGCCTCCTAAATCCTGACCTGACGTCTTCTCTCAAGGGAACCTGGGGGCACACGTGAGGCTGAGGTGTGGGGCCTGAGGCGGGACCGTGCGGGCAGGAGTGTGTGTCAGGGGTCTGCCCGTGGCCTCCGCTCCCTCATCGGTAGAGTGCCGGCCACTCTGCAAGGTGCCATGAGGCTGTGGCCGTGAGCGTCAGCATCAGAAAGCATGTTTCCTTCGTCAGACAGGGCCACCTGTTCCCCTGGATGTGGTGACATCTTTCTGTGGGGACTGTCCTCATTTGTCCAGCAGCTCCTCCTCACAGCGGCCCTCCAGGCAGGTGCTCCTGCCCCCTTTCACAGGCGGGGAGACGCAGCTTGGAGATGTTGGGTGACTTGCCCCGCGGGGAGTGAGTGGCCAAGCAGCGCTAGCTTCTCCGTGTCCACGGGAAGCAGGGATGCAGCCAGCAGCCTGGGTACAGCGCTCGCGCCCTGGGCCCCTGCAGCGGCCCAGTGCGGGGCTGGGCCCTTCTACTGACCGTCTCCAACTCCTCAGCGAACTCCTCGTTGTCCCCCTGTCTGGGGGCGGTGGGAGAGGGGGAGACTGAGACCCAGGGAGGTATTCATCGTCCAGGACAGAGCTCTGAGTGGCAGAGCTGCGGCCCAGCCTCAGTCTGATGGCTTCATGGCCCCGAGGCGTCCACTGTGCTGGTGGGAGGCACCCAGGCAGGCCTAGGACCCCGGCAGCCGTGTTTAGACAGCTCTCCTCTCCCCCCACCTAGAAATTCCGGAAGTTGACCATCCCCAGCGCCGATCTGAAAATGCGGGGCAAGCTTGGGGCAGGCCCACGGACGGTGACGGTTAATGACTGTGATGCCAAACTCAAGGGCGATGGGACCATTGCAGCCATCACAGAGAAGGAGACGCACTTCTGAGCGCCGCCTGCCACCTCGATGCCTCTCCTCCTCCTCCTCCTCTTCCGCCGTGTGTACAAATGAACACCCGAACCGCGTACTTCACCTAATGGTAGAGGCTTGCTCGTTTGGCACAGGATTTATTAACAAGTTAATTTTAAGGTGGCCATGTCCACTCTGGTTTAAAGTCACATTCCCCTCCTCGCCGCCCAGTTGTCATGTAAGTAACAGTACGGAGACATAATCCTGCACAGGGACTGGCAGTCTTCTTGTGCTAGGACGGTTTTAACCAGTGTTTGCTGGGGTTTAGGAACAAGTTGTCTCCTAGGGTCCAACTTTTTTCACTCGGGCTGCAGGGCAGGTGGGTGGGTGCCATGCCTGCCCTCCCCTGTCAGCCCGTTAACCGACCGGTCTGTGTCCCGTGTTTGTCCCTGACCGTTGCAGCTGCCCCTCCGCCGAGCCTCCAGGCTTTCCCTTCAGACCCTCCCTTTGTCATGCCCACCTTCCTAGAGGTGGGCCTGCAGAAAGCAAGCTATGTCAGAGGGGAAACAAAAGGTTGCACCAGACTCAGGACTCCTGGATAGCAGGGCCCGCTCTGGTCCCACCAAGTGACCTGAGGCACTCCCCTCCCGTCCTCGGCCCGAGCTTCTGCATCTCCCCAATGGGGAGGCCTGGATCAGGGGATCTCTGAGATTTTTCCCGGCCACATCTCTTGAGGATTCTCTCTGCATGCCTCACTGGCTTGCAGACCTGCTGGTTGATCTTGGATTCTTCTGAAGACTTGCAGGCTGTCATCCCTGCTTCCACCCCCCTCCCACCCACTTATTTAAAACTAAGTTTATCATGGAAGCTGTATGGTTTGATTTCATCCGTGAGTGGCCCCGTCCTCTGGAGACCAGCCAGGTCCTCGGCCCCACGGCAGGGCACCTCCTGTCCGTCCTCTCTCACCCTCAGCTCTGCCTCTCTGTCCTGTCACTACTCCAGCCAGGATCTGCATGCTGGGGCCTTCCCCCAGCCTCCCGGGAGGAGCTACAGTCCAGCCTGGAGCCTGGGTTCATCCTCCACCCTCTTCTTTACCCGTTGCCCTCCGCTCTCTCTCTCGTACCATCATGCTACCTCCAGTCCCTTCCCTGTCCTTCCTGTCACCAGCAGAACCTTGGAACCTTCTCGAGGCTTCTTCCCTACCTTTTTCCCCGGAGCTGTCCCACCTGCCTCTCCAGCCAGGGTGCTGGGAAGCCTCAGCGCTCACTGGAGGGGAGACCCGGGTTCCCGCCCCTCTCCCGGTGAGTGCAGGCCTGCTGTCTGCGGAGGAGGCTGCCGCTTCTCCAGGCCTCCCTGGCTGATCCTCTCTTTTTTAATTGGATTTGACTTCAAGTCTCTGCCTTGGATCCTGAGTTATTTGGGGACAGGGAAGGTGCATTCTTTATCCTTTTCCTTTATGTTCCCAATTTATTTGGTGGAAACTCAACCTTTCTTCAAACAGAGGAGTTGGTTTCCTGTAATGACCCTGTGTGTTTGATTCACCCCACTCCCAGCTTCTCTGCTCTGACCAGCCCCCACCTGAAGCCTGCGTTTGCTAAGACGGATGCCCAGGACCCCCCAGGAGGTCGGGATGCCTGGGTCTGGGCCCCCCTTTTGCACACACAGCCCAGGCCTGCCCGGCATCTCCTTGAGCTGTCTGATCCCGTGGACCCGGGAAATGGATGTGGGAAGATCCGGGCTCAGGCTGAGCCCCCTGCCTATGCTCATCCTTGTCTGCTCTTCTCCCATCAGGTCGGGGAGGAGTCTCCCCACTGTTGCTGCTACTGATTCTCCACCAACCGCTCTCACCAGTGCACAGCCCCGCCTTCCGGGGACACACTGCATTGTACAAGCGGCACTTAACACTTCACTCACTTAACACGACTCATGGGGCAGGGCGGAGGAGGGCTTTTGTTTTTCGTTTTTTTGTAATTTCCTACTAGTATTTGGGTAACTTTGGGGGGTGGGGAGGGCAATGTGGGGGCAGGCGATTCATCATTGTGGTGACTTTTTTGATATTCCTTAGAAACAATACATCCTTTCTGAGATATTTACAGTATTATTAAAAATGAAAAAGGTTGTACTGTTTTGCATAATGGACGTTTTTATTGGGTATTCAAAGGGTACACGATTGTCTGCTTACTCATTTTTAAATATTAAAGAAATGGACAAACTCTCTGTGGCTGTTCCTAGCGGAGTGGTGCTCACCGGGTGGTTCTTCCTGCTTTATCGCCTTCGTGATGTTCCTGAAAAACCGTCTCGGTTCCGTATTTGGAGGTTGCTGCCTCAGCTTGGGATTACAACTTAGAAACACGCGGGGCTGTTTCAGGAGCCCACACTGCCTTCTGTGTGACCCCCGTGCATTGAATGTCTACTGTGTGCGAAGTGCTTTACAGAAGTTCTCTGTTTAATCCTGCAACAACCCCATAAGGAAGGCATTCCCCCAACCTTGTTTATTTATTACGTCCCCCACTTTACAGACAGGGGACATTGAGGCAGAGAGAAGGCAAGCCATTTGCCCAGAATCCCACAGCTAGTAACCAGCAGGACCAGAAAGAGAAGTCAAGTCTATCTGACCTCAAAGTCCAGTCTCTTCATCACTGCCCCCAAATGCCTCTCAGGCTGCAAGACAGAGAAGGCAGTAGCCACCCCGCATTGCCACAAAGTCATGCACCTGTCCCATTGGGCAGCCCTGCGTGTCTGAGGCAGGCAGGCAAGGTGGGCAGAAGGACAGGAGGATTTGGAGTATGCAGCCCTGGTTTGGGCTTCAGGACCTGCCCTTGCCAGCCTCAGTTTCCTCATCTCTAAAACGGGGATAATTGCTCCCACTTCAAACTCGGTAATTATGAAGCTCCTGTGAGCTCTGGGTGTGAATGGTAAAGCTTCGTGTTCACACAGGTTATTATTATCCTGAAGGAGTTGTGCCTAAGCTCTGAAAGTGTGGTATTGTTCAGAACTTAGACGAAAATCTCTTAAATCTGTGTCTGAGATTTCCAAACACTGGCTTAAGGCCCCAGAGTGTGCTTTGTCCTGCTAGCACGTGGCGCAGTGAGATCGTCTACACGTGGTGTCTGCTCATTCCTGTCTGGTTGACCCTTACTTAAAATCCCTGATCTCGGGGTCCCCCTGAACCTGTCTTGGGAAATGGGGGAGGGGATCAGGCAGCAAAGAGCTGACACTTCAGGCTGAGAGCTGCGTGTTTTGGAAAACAGGGTCATGTGTTCAGTAGGCTTTTACTGAGCACCCACCGTGTTCCGTGTCTGGACCTAGGACTAGGGATCCTAAGACAAGTCTTGTCTTGAATGTTCCTGCTCTTCTTAGTCAGGAAGAGAGGTGTCCACACTCCTCCGGACACGGAGAGGTGCATGAGGGGAGGATGTTCTGCCTTCCCATGCCTTTTCCAGCCAGTTTGAGCCCCGCAGGGTGGCCCTGGGCAAGTCAGCCCGCTTCTCTGGGCCCGGGCTCAGCCAGCAGGAGAAGGGTGAAGAACACGCGACCCTGTAAGGGGACATGGCTGGCTCAGGAGTCGCCTCGAAGTCCTCTACATACCTGTCTCGCACTCAGCCCCTGCCCTCTCGCAGGCTGTTAAAGTCAAATGAGCCCTTGGCCTGGGCACCTCATGACCTGTTAGGGAGCAGAGTCAGTCTTTGTCGCCAACTCTCGGCCTTCTCTGTCTCACTTTAGAATAAGGTCCCCTCCGTGAAGGATACTGGGAGGAGCAACGCACGCACTGCCCTCAGAGCCTCAGGCTAGCGGGATGTCAGGACCGCCCCCACGAGCAACTCCAGGGCAGGATGTGCCAGGGACCAAGTGCTCAGGGAGTGCCAAGGGCAGGAATGAGAACCATTTATTGAGCACCTACTGTGTTCCAGGTGTCATGCCTGCATTATCTCACCAGAGCCTCACAACAAAGCTCACAGGTAAGTGTTATCAGTCCCATTTTTTTATATAAAGGAACTAATGTTTAGAGAGTGTAAATAATTTGCCAAAAATGATACTAGATACATCTCCTGGCAAGTGGAGGAGCTCAGTAGGACCAAGATTGGTGGGGTCTACAGAGAGCCCGCATACCCCACCACCACTTTATCAGACATTTAAGACTTGAGTTGCTCCTTGGGGCATGGGAAGACGTCACCAAGCAGGGAATGGCATTGGTGCTGAGGGAACAGCCTGCACAAAGGTAGGAGGCAGAAAGACATCTTTGGAGAAATACAGGAGAAACCAAAGTCCTTGCCATTCTGGTCTAGTCTTATAACCCCTTGTGCCACTTCACTTGCTGTGCGGCTGGGTGGCCCCTCCCCAGTTTCTCAGGGTAAGGGGTTTGGGTGACACCTACACCAGTGCAGGTCCTGGCACAGAGCAGGTGCTCCCCCGGGCAGGGGCTTCAGTGAATGAGTGTCCAGCTTGCCAGGGAGTAGGGAGCTATGGGAAAGGGAATAAATAGGCATTGAAGACCTGTCTGCTGCTGGAAACCATGCTGGCCCCTCCCTCTGTATTACTTTGCCCTCAGCCTCACTGTGGGTTGAGTGGTGGTCACACTCTACCGATGAGGAAACAGGCTTGGTGTAGAGTCAGCTGCCCCAGGTCCCAAAACTGCTAAGAGCCCCAGGGGTCTCTGGGTCCAAGGCCCATGCCCTTTCCACAGACCACCTTTGGAAGGTACTGAATGTCATCACAGCCATGAGCACTGATGGGTCATTCAAGGCCATGGAGAACCAGTTGGTGGTGGAGGCCGTGTGGGGAAGGTCTTGGGGTCTTCAGGAGCCTCGAAATACCTTTGGTGACACTAGGAACTTCTAGAAGTCTCCACAGTTCTCCAGAAGTGATATTGTGCCACTCAGGTTCACAGAGATGGACAAGGCGATGTTTGGAGCCAGTGAGGCATTGAGAGTTGAAAGGACCATTGGGACCCCTGGAGACCTGAGGGACTGGGGGTCCTGGGGATCCAGTAGACTGATGTGGAGACATCAGTGCGTGATGGGGCCCTTCGGGAGCGGGGGCAGGGGCTGAGCACACTGCCGGGCGGGTGTGGGAGTTACAGGGAACACTGGGACAGATGGAGGACCTCTGGGGAGCACTGCAGAGTTACTGAGGGCCATCAGAGGTAACAAAAGTATCAGGACCCTTGGTCACTACTGGGGGGCTTCAGAGCCATCCAGAGTTCTAGAGGGCACTTGGGGTCACCTTGTGGGAACCGTGCTTCCCAAGAGCGCCTATAGGCGCTTGAGGAAAGAGGAGGCAGGGGAGGCAGGGGAGGCAGGGGTGGAGACAGTGGATCTGATGTGACTGTGAATGAAGACGGGGTGGTGCCTGCCTGGCAGGGATGGGGAGGCCCAGTCAGATCTACAAAGCACAGGAAGCAGTGGGCAGGGTGGGCCTGGGCCAAGGACTCCACGACCTTGACCTCGAGAGTGAAGCAGGCTTGGCTCTTCCAGAGACCCCCTACCTGGGTGTGTCAGACCAATTCTGGCCAACACTTGGCTTTTCTCGTTCTTGTTTCTCTGCCTTCCTTTTGGGTATCTTCCCAAAGTGCACCGTTCCTAGAGTGAGAAGACTCTTTTAGCCTGGTCTGAGCAGGAGCTTGGCATCGCTCCTCTGCAGAGGACTTAGGAGAAGCTTAGGAGTGACTTAGGAGAAGCCCAGCAGAGGGTCTGGGCCTGATCTGTGGGAGCCCCTGGCAGATGGTGGGGAGGGGTCAGAGAAAACAGCAGAGCAAAGGCAAGTGTCATTTATCAGTCACCTCGGGTGTCGTTTATTCAGCACCTGCCAGGCATCTGGGATAAGGTCAGGTATTTTCCACTGGCCTCGAGACACCCCTGCAACTGCGATTCATGCCCACTTAACAGATGTGGAAACAAACTCAAGAGAGGTAACTAGAGGAAATTGCCCAGTGTCACACAGACCGAGCTGGAATTCAAACCCAGGTCTATCAAACCCAGTGTGCTCAGTTTTTTCCTCTATACCAGGAGGCTTTGGGGTTGACCCGCGGGTCCAGCAGGGAAGAATGAGTTGGGGGGCCTCCTGCCCTGCATCCCTCCCCTCCCTCCCACTCAGGGTCCTGGGCTCAGACAGGGTCCGGAGGCAGCAAATCAGCCACCAGGTGGCGCTGCTGCTAAACCCAAGCCCCTCCCTGTGGTCCCGGGCTCTGACCAGTGAGGTCAGAACTGAAGCAGAGACTGGAACTCGAGACCAGAGGGTCCAGAGGCTTCCCTCTGGGTGCCCAGATGAGGGACCAAGAGGCTGCCCTTGACAGAAGGGCACCATTCACCCTTCTCATCCTGCCCCATCCCTACCCCAACAGCCAGACACACCCGTGTTCAGTTCTCAATACCTCTACTCGCTGGCTGTGCGGCCTCAGGCAGATGACTCCACCTCTCTGACGTCAGTTTCCTCTTCTGTGCCACTGGACAGAATAAGCCCCTCCGGCAGGGATGTTGCGAGGATTAAACCAGATGGTGGTGCAGGCCCCGAAGTGCCTGAAGCAGAGAAGGACTGTAGTTCTTGTTACATGTCACTCTTCCCAGGATGCTGGCAGCAGAGACCTGCGTGCATCCTGGTTCTGAACTTGCTCTGTGCCTCTTGCCTCCCTGGACCTCAGTTTCCTAATCACGAGAACTCTCTCTCTGTTGGTTATTCTAAGGATTGAATGAGGGGGTAGCTATGTGGCATTTGTTTTACAGAGCTCCAAATAAACAGGAAAAGTATTAAAATATTAACGTTTCCAGGAGGTGTGTCTAGGTGAGTATGCAGATGATGATAAAATATGAGGTGCGCAGGGCGGCCCCTCAGGGATGGGCCCGGCACACAGGACAGACTGTGGGCTTTGCTCTGACCGCAGACTAGCAGGGACACAGGCCCCGTCACCAGGCCCTGCCTAGATACCCGGCCCAGTCCCTACCCAGCTCTGTCTGCCCAGAAGTCCTGCCCCAAATCCATTTGGACACAAAAATACAGATGAGAAGTCCAGGCACGGAAATGGAGGCAGTGATTATCTCTGGGTGATAAGGTTTGGGCTGATTTTAATTTTTTTTCTATACTATCTAATTTTTTCTTTAACAAAGAACAACTTTGGCTTCTATGGTCCAAAAAATAAAATCAGTAAAGCTATTTTTGAAAATCCTCTCCTCACCACTGAGAGGTGGGTTACAAAGCAGGCCCGCAGGGAATGAAAAA